CAGTCTCTTGTCAATGTCTTTTTGACGTGTGGGACCCAGGTCATCCTTCTGTCGAATATTAGTCCGAGGTAGCGTATAGTGTCCGTCTGAGGAATTGGATTGTTGCTGATATAAACTGGTGGGCATGTTTCTCGTCGAAGCGTAAATGTTATGTGTTGTGATTTGTTGTGATTTAATCTAATTTTCCAAAGTGAATACCAATTTTGTAAATTTAGTAAGTGATTTTGTAAATTTAATGAGGCTAGTCTGGGGTCGTGGTGTTTTGTTAAAATTGTTGTATCGTCAGCGTAAGTAGCAGTCAATGTTTCAGAGGTGGTAGGCATGTCATGCGTATAGACAATGTAGAGTAAAGGTGCCAATATTGATCCTTGAGGCACTCCTGCTGATATTGGTCGAATTGAGGAAATTTCTAAACCCTGTCGGACAGAGAAGAATCTGTCGAAAAGGAAAGACTGAAGAATGAGATAGTATGTATTAGGCAAGATAAATTTGAGTTTAAAGAGAAGTCCCTGGTGTCAGACTTTATCAAATAAAAAATGCTTACAAAAACATTTTTTTTCTCCTCTTCATGCTTTCATTTGTACCTTACATTTAAATAATTTTATTTAAAAATATAAAATTTGAAATCTAATAAGGTACATTCTTTGGACATACTTCATATTTTTGGGAACTTTTGTCGTCGAGGGTGAAGTTCCAAGCGCCGCTTGTTCGATAGCGGTATCTTTCCTACCGCCATGCATTTAAAGAATGGGATTTGAGAGCAGTGACAAATTACTTTGTGGGGTCTCACAGCGTCTAGGATCTAGCCTTCCTAAGGCCTGGCCATGAATAGAAAAAATCTAGGTATTTATATTTATTTATTCTCTTCCATTGTAACTCAATGGAAAATCCCTGAATTTTATATACATTTCACACCGCCAAGACAATATATTACATGTTTTGTATTATACCCATAAGACCTTAAAAAAATACGGGGTCATTCTATATCAAATCAAACAAAAATATAAGCCAGGAAATCTTGGATTTTGATAATGTTTTTGTAATTTGTTGTATGCAATAGTGTAAAGATTCAAAATGTTTGGGTTTTTGTATTTACGGTTTTTGAGTTATACATTTTTAAATTTATAAAGAAAAAACAACAAAACGAACTTAGTACTTTAAATTTAGCATATTTTTCAGTAGTTTCATATAAAGAAATATATAATTAAATTTAATTTTAATAAAAACTAAAAGGGTTGTATTCTTTAAAATAAATGGCACATGTTCCAGCTTTCTAGCTCAAATATATTTTGAAAAATAGCCCCAAAACTATCTTAAAAGTACCATTTTCGGATATTTCTTTATTATTTTAAAAATGTTAAACCCCAAACCGTAAGTCGAAAAAATCTAAATTTTTTTCTTTTTCTTTTTATTATCGCATGCAACAAATAACCGAAATCCAATAAGACCTATAGACTGAAAATTAATTAAGCAACGAGTATTTCTGTACACAGTTTCTTGGTATGTGGATATTAAATGTTATAGTATAAGTCGTTATATCAAATGTTATCGATACATTTTAGGTAGGTATTGTCAATTACATTCAATAAATTATATCATAATATAAAATCTTTTTTTTTTTCATATAAATCAGAATAGTATTAGGTAATATTATAATGTTGTATATTTTTTGATGCTCAGGACCAACGACATTCTCTTTTTAAATTATTTTATTTTTCAACTTAAATTTACCTGGGTTATTTGAATTAAACCTACCAGAAGGTAGCCGAAAAATTTTCTAGGCTTAGATCAAATCACGTTTTATGCAAAGTATATCTACAGTTCATTGCAATGATTCTTCTAAATGTGATAAATGTATAAAAAAAAACTAAAAAAAAAACCCTACAGCATACAATCATGGAATGCTTTGAATACAAAAATTACAGAGATAAATTTCCATTTTTTTTTAACTATCGTAGTACTGATAATCTTTATAAAAAAAATATTAACATTGAATAAACCAGAGGAAATCAACAATGTCACACAATACTTGCATTAAACTAATAAATATATCTAGAATGGATTTAGTAAGAAATAGGAATTATTCAACTTCATAATATGATTGGCTGTATGGAAAATTTCAATACCAAAGCTAAAATTAGAAAAGTTTTCAGTTTATTTGCAACATATTCACCTCTTTTATCTTTGAATTTTATATTTAAGAATAAATAATTTGAACAGTGTTCTTTGTCTGGTTTTATTATATCTTATAAAAGAAGCAACTGTTCGTTGGACAGTAAGATGAGATGGCGTCTGTCGTCGTAAACGTCCGGAGCATAAAAATAATATAAAAAAAATTAAAACTATCCAATGAAAAAATATAATGAATTACTCATATATTAATTATACACTAGTAAAATGAAAAATCAAAAAAAGTAAACGAAATTAAAAAATAAAGAACTAGTATGTAAATAATTATATATATTGACAGAAAGCAGCTATATTCATTCACCAGAAAGTATTGTAACATTTTTAATAAATTAACGAACCATAACCCGAGTAGTTGGGATTATGTTTACATGGATTGTAGAAATATAGTTCACTGCAGGTTTTGGTGCAGAGATCTTGTATTATTAAGGGGTCATTGTCTCTCCCGAATGCATGAAACCTCAAACAGGGTCTTCTGAGTCTTGTTGGGAATAAGTTCTTAGAATGAAACCTCTCCACTGACAATAATTGGCTACGTGTACAATAAGGCTGCTTTGATACCAATCCCTTCCATCTAATTACTGAACAATATAATCCTCTCTCTGCTAACTGCTGATGAGGTTCTCCTTTTGTAACCTCATCCTATAATGCCACTAGGTTACTACGGCACGCAATTGAACCCTACTGAAGATATTATATATGATATCATGTTATATTAAATTCCAATGATACATAAATTCATTCTCCAAATTATCTCCACGGTATATGAGGTGCTTGTAGGTAACTCACACCGAATGGAAATAGCTCGTGAATCACGATTTAGTTGAGGTTCCTTCAGAATGTCAGTAACCACCTATAGTTTGGTCTAGAAGGGGAAGAAATATATATCTTCGTGTTTCTGCTGACCATGAAAAACCATGATTATGAACCCGGATAAGTGAAAAGAACTCGTCCAAAATGGATTCAAAATATGTAGCCTGCTGCTGCATCATGAAAACTACGCTTGATAGCAACCAGACATTGTGTAACACTGTAAAGATAATATGTAATCAAATGCGTAATAATCGTCTACAAGAGGATGACAGCGTGGTCCAAGATCTAAACGGTCATTATATAGCCTACAATATGTATACTTACATATTTTTTTAAAAACTTATTTATTGAAAGATATAACAATCTGTCCCAAAGGACATTTATAATAGTGTTCAGAGATCACATTCACACTCTATGTACAATAAATAAAATAAATATTTACATATTTAAATAGAAGCAACCGTAATAAATAATAATGGTTATTGTGAAGGTGGAAAGGTATAAGTGATAAGAAGATGCTTCACGTTGTGAGATCGTTGTTTATAAGAAATCCTCGGTAGTGAGTCGTTATAAAATATTGGACACCCCCACGAAAAAAAAAATTGCATTTATTGTGTACTATAATGACCAAAAAATTGAGATTTTGTTTTTCTTATTGTTAAGTGATACAATATATCATATATAAGGTATTAGTAAATTATTAGTAAATTTACTCAACCGGTATTATTGCTAAATGTTACCATTCACCTCCATTATATCATTATTTTCATAACTTCATTATTTATGATTATATTTCTACTAAAAATAAATTTAATTATAAAATAAAAATTAAGTAATTATGATTTAAAACACTACAATATAAATTAAAATATCATCGTAAAAATATAGTAGTATGAGAATTAGCTAAGATGTCATAGCAAGATAAGCACAGGAATAAACGAGACATTCCCATTTGTGGTGTAATTTTTACTGTCGTCATTATTTCTTTTTATTATGTTTATTATCGGTGGTGAACCGGTATGTTATCGCTTACTCTAATGTTCTACAAGAACTTAGATTTTCTTTTTCTAAAATCAGACTTTCATAATTGATAATATATATATAATACTTTAATAAAGCTAATAGTGCGACCTTCATGCCAGACAATATTATGTAAATCTTTTATTGCATTGTTCTGTGTCTCTGAGCTTTTGATGATTAAGCCATGAATTAAAGCAAATATATTATTAATTAAAATGATATTTTATAAATACTTTTTTTGTTTTACATAAAAATGTTTGTGTTAGTGATGGAATAAATTATGTACATATTTTTTTACATTTTTATTTTATTTCATATTACATGTATATTTTTTTCTCTGAAAATTCAATTCTTTATTGAGAAATATTACAATCAGTCACATCTAAGGACAATAGTAATGGTGATAGAAGAGTAACTTATTCATATTATATGTTCTTAAAGCAATAAGTAACCAGCGTAATAATAATACTAAAAATAAATGTGTATAGACTAAAGGAAACTAAACTAAACAAAAAGAAACTGAACTAATCAAAATAACTACTCAAAATATACACGAGCTTTTATACAATATTTACAAAATACATTTAATCAAGATCTCCGAGCCAAGTCTTTTCTCCCAATCATAGAAGAAAGGAAGAACTCTAGGAGATCCCAGCGCCTCTCACTCAGCCGCACTACTGGTATTAAGGACCAGTGGAGGCTGAGCAGAGGCGCTATAACCAGACATACATGGCTTGACTGGACAAACTCCAATATATACTTACATCAAGTCTCAGGGCAATTACAGCTTCAACCTTTTAGGAGGGTTGTGTGGATGGGTGGAAGTAGATAGGAATTGTCCAAGTGGATTTGGATGATAGTAAGGTTTTGATGGAATATGGAAAATTTTTCATGAAATAAAATAAAACATACTTACTAACTAAGATAGATATGCATAATGTTTTGCAACAATTTCTTACTGAATACTAACCTCGCATTAGTACTCACTGTTACAGACTGCTGTGGAGAGATGTCAAAAGAAGAGGCACTGCAAAATGATGTCTTCCTCCAACAACTACGGAATAGATCCCTGTCCAGGGGTGCCTAAGCACCTCCAGATCACGTACAGCTGCAGGCCTTGTAAGTACAAGTAAAGTATGACTTGAACTATATCAAGGATATAAGGATTTCGGATACGATAGTTCCGGATGATGACGTATTTTAATGAGTGGATTGATATCAAAGACGGACTTCAGTCATTTTTAAATAGTTGAAAAAAAAATTCTAACATAGCTTCAATTTTAACCTATTATAATGATTTGGTTTTATGATTAATCTTGAACATTCTTGAAGAAAAAGAATAATAAACAGTTTTAGTTAAATCTATAAGACAAAAGTTGAATTTTTCTCTTTTTTCTGAAAATAAAAGATGCCCGTCTTTGATATGAGGCCTTTAAAGAAAAAAAAAGTAAAATTATGTTAAACTCTTTAATAATTTCTTTGATGGTCACGCATATCATAGAATGCTTAAGAGCAGTAAAGTGTTATTAAGTATCCATACCTAGTGACACACTACTGCAAACACCCGTATTGCCATATTGGCTTGACAGTGTGGAATAAATAAATTAAAGAATGCTTAATGTTTATAGTTTATAGTTTTTATAGTAGCGCTAGGGTGAAGTCGGCTGTAGTTGACTGATTAAAGTGGCATATGGATTAAAATATCTCAAAACTAAAAATCGGACCTGCATAATTGTAGGAACAAAAATTTTTATAATTCCATCCTCTTAGTAATGAACTATTATTGAAAATTGTATCTTAACGCGACACCATATTAGAGAGGCGAAAATGGAAAAAAAAACAGTGTCGAAAACCAAATGATAAAGAGTTTTATTGAACATATAGATTAAAATACCTCAAACACTAAAAATCCGTTCTGCATATTGATAGTGTGGGAAATGTTCATCATTTAATCATTTATCATCATCAATTAATCATTTAATCATTTGATGTTTTCACCTCTTTGTAATGAGTTATTATTAAAAATTGTTTCTCAACGCGACACTGTGTTATAGAGCCGAAAAGAGAAAAAATAGTGCCAAAAACCAAATGATAACGAGTTTTATTCAATATATGGATTAAAATATCTCAAGAAATAATAATCGGACCTGCATATTGTTAGCGAGGGGAATGTTCATAATTTTATTCTCTTTGTAATGAGCTATTGTTTATAATTTAAATTTCATATTATTAATCTCGCCTTGTTGATGTTTTCACTTCTATCGTGTGGTATAAAGCACACACCTTCATTTTTTTGTTTAATTCATTTTATAACTTACTAACTGATTCTTGATATTGTCCTCGAGTATATACCATTTTATTTATTCAGTTAAACAGAAAATTAGGCTTGTGGAAAATTTGCATACAATTTATAAAAAATAGCTATATGTGACTTTTAATTATTGGCTTAATCAACCTGTTTTTTTATCTTTATAAAACTATTTCGGTTATGGGACTTATAAAAAGATGTTGCCAGGCTTTAGTAGTTCAGTGAATTGAAAACAGCACAAAGCTTATAGTTAAAAAGTCTCCTTCATCCATATACATAGATTATGCAGCAGTACATGGTAGTCAGGCAATATTGCATACGCTACATTTTGCAGGCGCTAAACCTCCTGTTGCAGATTTTTAATCTCTTCATTTAATGCCTGTCTCTAATATAAGTATCACTAAACAAAAATAGTGACTTAAAAGATTTTGATTTATTTAAATTAATTATTAGATCTTCATGTCTAGCCTGCCATAATTATCATTTCCGTCATCGCAGTTGCTGGTTGTATCTCTGATATGTGACAGATGCAAAGAATATGATTCAAAAATATTATGTATATTAAAAAAAAAAATTAAACAGCAAAAATATTATGTATGTTTATATATAAAATAAAAAAATATATATATTTATATACACACATTTGTATTTTGAGTAATTTGAATAAAAAACAGATAAGTAATTAAGAAAACATATTGTATTAAAGAAAACTTTTTAAAATTTCATATATATCGAAAAGGAAAACATTCTTTAATTGATGGATACAATGCTGCAGATTTTTTTCAGCAAAGCAGAGAAAAAAAAAAATAGCTTACCTTCAATTCAATCGGAATTCCGTAGAATTTGAGTGCTTTTTCCCCCCGACTTTTTCAGGTATTCTCAATAAACGTTTATTGTATTTGATAAAAAACGAGAAACAAAATTTAAAACAAGGGTTTTCTAATATATGGGGTCAAGGGAGTAAACCGTACAATAATTAATTTTATTGGAAATTTTATTTATATACATAGCTCAAAAGTTAATAGGGATACTGTTAGTTATGTCTGATTTATTTTCCCTATAATATTTGTTATAAAATAAATTGAAATATATTACAAATAAGATTTTATTCTACCTCAGGAAATTTTATAAAAGATTTAAAAAAAAAATAAAATTGAACGTTTTTGTGAACTTCTTTTTATGATTGAGAATTTAAGAACTTCGTAAAATTTAATAAGTTGTGTAATATCCCTGTTACGCACTAGCCTTCTACACGTGTGGAGCATACTGTCTGTTTATAATGTTGTAACTGATTTTAAATGTAATTTGATGTCATAAACATTGTAACTCTGTTGTCAGTTGCTGAAGGTTAAGATGCTACAAATGGTGGTCATAAAGCCTTTTTTGCAGTGCATCCCACATGTGCTCAACGAGATGAAGACGTGTAGACAATAAGAGAAACTGCAGATGTGAAATGTCCATATTTTCAAAACACTGAAGTCGTGTATTGTCGTCAAGAAAGTGAAAATATGTGCTAACTATGGCCCTGGTTCAAGAATGTACTCCTCTATAATTTCTTGAACATGACGAACTGCAATGAGATTACTTTCCACAATATGGAGTAGAATCCGTTTTCCAGATTAGATGTAGACGTCCAGCTCTTTTTTTAGTAGTCATCTAATGGGCATGTCAGCCCTAGCCATATCCGCCATAAATAGCCGGAAACATTTTGTCTATAGTGGGTGTGTGGGTAGGTTTATAAAGTTTTAATAGTTACGTATGTGGCCACCATGTTTCATTTAAACTGAGAATATAAAAACCTAAAAATAAAGAAGGGTATATATTTCTTTAGCGTATATTTTTTTTTTTTTTTTTTTTTTTTTTTTTTTATTTCAATGGAATTTACAACTGTATTACATAGAGAATACAATAAATAAATGAGAAATTTGTAACATGGCATGTACAACATGAAGAGAAACTACCCATTGGTAGAACTCAAATTAAAGTTCTATATTAGAAGATCCCGAGGCCATCTTCTTTTCAGACGCCTCGGAGGGCAGCGTATATTTGAATACCAAATAAATAAAGATGAGAAATTATAAATAAAATCTTCTTTGAGATGATAAAATTCTCTTAATATTACCATATTAAAAGATATAAATTTGTTTATCGACAGAAAGCTACATGCATATTAGTTTTTATATGGCAATGTAAAGCAGTATTGATTTTATTATTAAAATTTTATGAATTTATTCTAGAAATTGTAAAATGTTAAGATTCGTATCTGCTGTTAAATTTTAGACTAACCATAAAATTATCTTTGTTCACATTTTTCATTAATTAAAAAACTTTTTTTGTTCTGCATTTTATTTTTTTAAATGTACGCAAGAGTTATATTGTGTATTAAAAGTCAAAAAGTAAGTAAATAAAAGTTTTAAATTCATTTATGTGAATTTAGAACTTACTGATGAGGAAAATCACTAATCGTATCAAAATGACGCAAACCATTTTATATATTTAAAATAATAACAAAAATTGCACTATATTCTGATATCGCATAGGTAAAATTCTTGGGCGGTGTTGCAGGGTGGGTTGAAGTATCTGTAAAACCAGTGTTACAAGCTAACTTGAAAACCCGAAAATTACGTGTGGGAGATTAATCCCTCACCTTTTCCTCTGACTCGAGAAGAACTATGTATAGACGAAAGGCGAGAAAGGGAGGAAAAACATGGAAAATTCATTAAAGTACTTTTCTTTTTTTTATTTGTTTATTTAGAAATACTAAATTGTGTCCCATCTAGGACATTTATAATAGTGTTCAGAGAGCACACTCACACTCTATTCGCAGTAAGTAAAAATAAATAATACAGAAACTAATAATAATAAAAATAAATGTATATAAACAAAAGAACTGACCTAATCATACACACTTGGGCTTGAGTGGAGGGCCTGGCCATTGCCAAAACTTCAGTAGATGTTTATTCACAGAAGGTCTCTGGGCCACTGTCGCTTCAACCTTCGAGGAGGATTGTAAGGATGGGTGGTACTGGATAGAGATTGTGCAAGGGGATTTGGATGAGAGGTAAGGTTCTGGTGAAATTTGGAGAATTTTTATGGGATAAGGTCTAGGACAAATGGGATATTAAGGTCATTGTGTAGGATTTTGTTAGTTATATAGAACGGAGCATCAACTATTGTTCGAAGGACTTTAGATTGAAAGGGTTGAATAAGTTTGATGTTAGAAACTTTTGCTGAAAACATTAAAGTACTAGAGTGAATTAGTTTTATGAAATGTTACGTAATGATCTCATGCAATAAATGAACGATAATAGAACTTTAGCATGAGTTAAGGCTAAATGATTTTAGTTTTTGCGTTTATACGTTGATTCCTCTTTAATGCGGTGATCAGCACTCTCATAGGAGTGTTTATTAAGTGTTTATTTAGGAGATTTTATTAAAAATGTATTCTTTTAATACTTCAAATATATAATATGATGTGTGTCTTTGTACTACATATATAATTGATATCCCTTTCCAGATGAGTTCCGAAGCAAGACAGCCTGCGAGAACGAGATGGTGCAGTTGCAATGCGGCCCCAATTCTAGGCTGGCTATCTACTCGGCCTCCTACGGCAGGACTCAGTACGAGAGCTTACAGTGTCCTCAGCCTCAAGGCGTACCTGAAGAGAGTGAGATATTATCATTTTTCTTAAACCTTATTTAAGTAAACCAAAGATAAAAAAACAAAGAAACCGATAACGCCAACACATTTCTTTGACACTTTATATTGCAAATGAAAGATGCAGTAACAGATAATGATAACCTATATGATAGTAATCTATCAAATTTTCATGTATATAAAACAAAACACAATCAAGACAGTGATTTTTTTTCTCTTTAATTATATAACCGAACCTGTCATTGTATTGACATTCAGCCGATGTGTTGTAATAAAATAAGGATTGACATTATAGAATAGAATAGAATAGAAAAATAATTTTACCCTGGGAAGAGGTCCCTTTAGAATAACAAAAATGTAAAAAATTAAAGTATTAGCAACCATAAACAACTTAAGTAAAAATAAACATAAACAGTAATAATAAAGAAAGAAGTAAAGAAAATAGTAGTTAAACATAGTATGTACAAAATTAAAAAAAAAAATCTATATACAAAACAATTGAAACAATGCCGAGACACTTAAAACTATGTACAGGGCTGAAACATAAGTATCCACTTTAAAAACAATAAATAAAAAATGCATTCCATTCTTCCTAGCAATAAACTCTGTGTTTCTGAAGAAAAAAAAAAGAAAAAGAAGACGAATCTGATAGTAAGTATTTAAGTTATGAATTATATGCAAATATACCATTATGCGAATCGTTTCGAATAATATATAAATTTACATAAAATTAGCGGGGGTTGACTGACGGGGGTTTTTGGAATAGGAATTGGAATAGGAGGTTTTTAAATGCAGATAGGGAGAGAGAATGTGTTGTGATTTTGATAGGAAGGAAATTCCAGAAATTAACAGAGCGAGCAATAAACGAGTTTTGGAACGAGGTAGATCTGTGAGAAGGAATGTGAAGTTCGGAAGGTCGAGATCTTGTGAAAAAGGCGTCGACTGAAGACTTGAATTGGAGAAGATTGTAGGCGTAAAAAGGACAATGATTGTTGATGATTTGATAAAGGAACGTACCTAGGAAATATTGTCTTCGAATGGAGGGGAAGAGGAACTTCAACTCAGTGTAGTGGTGAGACACTTGGGAGTATCTCGGAGCACCAATTACAAATCTTACCCAGCTGTTCATAATTATAGGCATGAGGAAGGATAGTACTCAGTAGCACCTCTTTCTCGTCATTATTTACTTCCTTGATTTAGGTGAGGAGATCTCATACAGATCGATTTAATCTCCTCCTGATAGGCATGTCAGTCGTGGCCCTGTCGTTTATTAATCTGTTTATGTGACCGTGTAGTTTGAGATAAAAACGAGAGTAGAGAGTATGTGTTGGTTGATAGTTGGTTGTCGTAAGTCGTTTTGTAAAGTTTTGTTGTTGACATACCAGAGGGCTGCAGTTAATATTTAATATTTTAAGTAAAATTTTAGATTGAAAATATTGTAGTTTTTGCAGGTGAGTCTTTTTTGCTGAAACATAAATCTGTGAGGCACATGTCCAAATGGGTTTGAGTAGTGTGGTGAGTAGAGATTTAGGTAAGGAGATCACTCGTCCATCTCCTTTTTAGTCTTTTTCTAATGGGCCTGTCATTCATGCCCTGGTCATTTATAAGACTGTTAGTAAGAGTTTGAGATGAAAACGAGAGTACATATTATGTGTTGGTTTATTGTTGGTTCTCATAAGTTGTTATGTTGATGTACCAGGGAACTCCTGTTATGAGTCGTAATATTTTTGATTGAAATTACTGTAATTTTTGTAAGTACGTCCTTTATGCCGAACCGTAAATCTGAGAAGCGTATGTCCAGATGGGTTTGAGTAGGTAAGTGTATGTATTTATTTTTTGTCGAACTTTCAATTTTTATTTAGAAAAAAATGCCTACAGTATTTTCAGTTGCTTGTTTAAAGTCTGTTGTTTCATTTTGACGTGTGGGCCCCAGGTCATCCTTCTGTCGAATATTAGTCCAAGGTAACGTAGTGTGTTTGTATGAGAAATTTAATTCTCTCCTATATAAACTGGTATGCACGTTTCTGGTCGAAGTGTAAATGTTATGTGTTGTGACTTGTTTGGATTTAATCTTGTTTTGCAAAGTAAGTACCAAATAAAATCAGTTAGTGATTTTTTAAATTGCTTGAGGCTTGTCTGAGATTATGGCGTTTTGTTAAATTTGTTGTATTATCAGAGTAGGTGGCGATCAATGTTTCGGAGTTGATAGATATATCATGCTTTTATATAACGTAGAGTAAAGAAGCCAGTATTGATCCTTGAGGTACTCCTGCTAACACTGGTCGAATTGACGAAATTTCTTTGATTGATTCTATTTTCAAACTATATCATGACATTTTATCAATTGTATACAATTTCGATTAAAAGAAAAAGTAAAACAGGTTGGAATGATATCCTAAAATAAAAATGGCAAAGTGGTGATTAGAAGTATTCCGGCACAGGGGCACGAGGAACTTCAGTTAGTTGATGCCGTCCTCAATTGCTTCCCACTCATCGTCGCTTAAAGTTTAGTTTATTCATAAATGTATGAAATTTTTTCTTCTTTAAAAATATACCTAGATCTTTTATATAGAATATACCTAGATCTTTTAAATCCAATAAACAAAACAGGAATGCCTTTAGGATCTATACTTGACCCATTATTGCACAATTTCATCTGATAGTCTTGATATACTTAAATGTACTGGATTCTAAAATTACACCACAATATTTTTCAGTCCTGACAGTAAATCAATAAGGTACTTAATATTAAATGATGAAAAATATCATATTTATAGTCATATAAATATTCTTAAAAAAAAAAAAAAAAAGAAGAGCTCTTGAGTACTATTGAACAGCTTTGTATTTACCTCGAAATAAGGAAAAACAAAAGAAAAGAAATGGGGATGAATTAGACACACTTTAATAAAAGATGATCATGCGATCGAAAAAGAAGTTCTTCAATGGAATCTGCAGGAAATTAGAAGAAAAGAAAGACCATGAGAACTACGGCTGGAACCTGTGCAAAACTACCTGAGCCGGGCTTGCAAGACTTGTCCTGAAACAAAAATGATTAGGACAAAAAGAGCAAAATGGAACGCACCTGTGGAAGAAATCAATAATTCTTGGTTTATGATAAGAGATTCATGTCACTCGTTATTCCGTTATACTTTAGAAATTATAAGTTGTTCCTGACACCATCTGGATTTGTTCAATTGAATCATAGACAGTTCCCCTTGTTTATTATATTTTTACATTGAAATATGCTTCAAGGAAATCATCTTGCATTTATTATAGATGCTTAATTATTCAAAATCAGAGATTTGCCTATAATTAAGCTTTGGAAAATAATTGTGACATGAAATAGTCATATTGCTCCGTTAAATTTTTCAAATTTCCTGAGAATTTAATCAAATATGATTTGAAATTTAGTTGTTGTTATATAGCCTCCTGAGCATCCATACATTTTTTTTTTTTGTGTGACGATTAACCGAATCATACATGTAGGGCTCGAGTGTACTCCCTTACGTTCTACCATCTTTGATCAACTGAAAAGACTGAAATAACTCAACGTCTTCCTGTCTTTTGTCCTTCTCATTAGCTATGTATAGGTCTCCAGGAGACACGGTACGCTTTTCTTCTCTTCCTTTGTGTGGGTAATGAAAGTACTATATAATGGAAGAGATTGGAGTAAACTTCTCGATTGTGTCATATATTTTATGGTGTGGTAATATATGATAATATATTATATAGTATATAGTATATCTGGTGTATATATTATGTAGAATTTTTTCAACCAACTGTGTGTCAAGTGATAGATTCAAAACTAGAAAAAAAATGTTTGAAATACTTTTTAAAAAATCAAATAATTTTCTTCATTTAAAAAATTATAAATAAAGATAAAACTCCTTAACGTTCTTCTTTCTCCAACAAAAAAACAAAAAAGGAAAAAACAGAAATTATATAATAAACAGATAAAAATTGTAGAAAAAGCGAGAGAACATAGAAACATCAATGATAAAAAGAAGAATGACATTTTACGACATAAGGACAGAATAATAAAAAAAAAATAGACAAAACTATAAAATGTTTGATATGTATCAATATAGGTATCCGAAACAGATTAAGCGGAAATATATGGATATAAAGGGAGGATTGCGAGGGTAGGAATCAGTTGATCAGATAAAGGTTCTTTCACTGGGAAAGAAAGAGTGATGAGGAGAAATGGACGGAGGAGAAGAACCACAACACGATGAGAGAGGTGTGTAAAAGGAGAAAATGAAGACTAACAGCGAAATTTGCGTAAGCCAAAATTGGTCTACATTGCTACAAAAAAAAAAAAAAAAAAAAAAAAAAATACGCCAAGAAAATAGATATATTCAATCACTGTAATTCAAATTTTAAATTATAAACCCTCGTGATCTCCTAATGTAGTCATATCATTAGAGTGCTACCATTGGGTAGTTACTCAGCAAGTGTATTCATGTCATTATATCAATTATGTCCAAATTTACTTGATGTATTTATGTAATACAGTTGTAAATGTCATAAAGAAATAAAAAAAAAATTATAAACAGGCTAAAATTAGATTTAAAAAGGAGTCTTGAACGTTATCACTTAGTATGCCTGCTTTTTAGTTTTTTTAAATAATTTTTTTTCATGTGTGTTTGTTTGTCTTTGGATATAAGAAGAACTGGTATAAATATATCACTGATAATTGGTCCTTAAAAACTTTATGACATAAAATTAATAATAACACTCGACATTATCAACTTCATTTCACATAATTTTTTTTTCATTTGAATTAAAAAAAATATTTATATAGAAAACTTCACTTATCTTCTCATCCTAAAATATATTAATTTAAACTCTCGTTGGTTTATTAGATTATATATATCTATATATCCCTGCAGTCCTTAATGTACGAAAATTCACAGTAATGTAAATGAGTTTATTTCAGTTGGGGCAATATAAAATATTATTATTATACTTTTGTCCGGGAAAAAAATATTCATTTACTTTTTTCTTTTCTAATCCAGCCTGTCTGGCAAGTTACGCTACTGAGACGGTTATTAATATGTGCCATGGGAGGAGAAGATGTACCCTGTCCGTAGACTCAAGCACGTTTGGCAATCCTTGCAAGAAGGAGTCCAGGATGTACCTTAAGGTCGTCTTCACTTGTGGTAAGTAATCTTGTGATTAGTACTTGAAGTAACTGTTTCTGATATTCATTACCTACGAAATAATATAATTATTTTCTTCTTAAGAATATATCTAAGGAAAAAAAAAAAATCAGTCAAACTTTATGTTTATACCTCCGAAAGAGTAAGGTAGAACAGAAAGGTTGTTTTATAGTTTCTCTTTGTCCTTTAGTGCCCAGGAAAGTCTTACTCCCCAAGTACGAGCAAGGACAGGAAGAAGACGAGGCCCAGGAACCTGCGGACGAATGGGTGGACTACGATGAAGAGGAGTTGGCAGCACCCAATACCATTGGACAACACAACATTAGCAGTGCAGCAAATGAGTCTGTCACGCTACATCACAACAGAGGAGGTGAGTTGCATGAGGTGGAAATTGCGTTAATATCCTTAGATTCAGAAAATAATTTAAAACTATATTTATTTGATCAAATAAAACTGTGATAGTTAACAATATAAAAATTGATAAGCAGCTCTCCGTACGAAAAGAAAAGTTATTGAATTGGGAACCTGAGTAAGTTGGACATAATTTAAGATAGTCGTAATAACAAAATATAGCACGGCATCCAAGTCTTTCGAAGAATTTTTCAAGGTCTGGGCGTTTTAAAACGGAAAATACACTTCTACCCTCATCCGAAAGTCTTCGATACCGTGAAATATTGTCTTATTACGAGTAAAATGAATAAAATTGATTTCCCTGTTACCGAACGGAACTGTTGAAATCTGAGTTAAATCGATTATTTACAAAAAGACTAAGGTGTGTTATTTAGTGCACAGAATACAAGTAAAAACATCAAAAACGCGATATTAACAATATGAAATATAAATTACAAATAATTGCTCATTTTAAAGAGGATGAAATGCTAAACATTACTCTCGCTTTCAGCATGCAGGTCCGATGTTTAGTTTTGTAAGATATTTTAATCCAAATTTTCAATAAAACTCGTTATAATTTGGTTAGCGACACTACTTTTTCCCTTTTTACTTCTCTAACACGTCGTCACGTTAAGGTAAAATTTTGAATAATAGCCCATTACAGAGAGAGAGGATGAAATTATGAAAATTTCTCATGTATACGAGTAAGCAGATCCAAATTTTTCTTTCTGAGATATTTTAGTCAATATGCAAAAAACACTTCAATTAGTCGACTCCAGCCAAATGCGCCTAAAGAAATTTTCACTTAAAAAAAATCATTTAAATATCTATTTTCGAACTACATTATAGTGAAACGTGATATCAACATACTTGATAGATATTTGGGTTATTACATGAAATTAGTCCTATCCCACCCAAGGTCAATAGCGCAATAACCTATCATCCTCTCTCCTCCTAAGATATTTTATTGGTCACTTTTCCTCACGAACAGAGCAAGCTAAGGTAGAATTAGAAAAACTCGTAGATCATTTACAATTACACTTGCTGTGGTCTCTTATATGTTTTTTCCCTTTTCACTTAGTCAGAAAATTAATAACTCCGTCGAAATTTGTCCCCCTTAAAAATTAAAAAAAATCAGTTAAAATATGCCCTCCTCAAAAATTTTGATGGCGCAACTTGAGCCAATCAAACCTCCTTCTGGGCACCTCTGTTATATGGATACTTTTTGTGCAATGATATCTGAGATATTTTTATAAGATGATAACCTGTATTACTTTTTTTTTTTTTTTTTTTTTGACTCTATATCTTCATCCGCACCTGTCATGGTAGTGACAATTAGCAGATTAGCTGTTTAAATATAAATATTTCAAATTTATTAAACTAATGTTTTTATTTCGTAACATTTTTTCGATTTTAAATAAGTTTGCTGTCAAAAAACAGCCATGGTTGTGTAATTTAATACTTTAAAAATTAATAATAAGTTTAATATGTGTAACAACGAAATTTTTTAAGTAAATTATATTGTACTGAGTATTTTATTAATTTCTGTTAAACATAGTTTTCCATCTATAATATCTTCGGGTATCCAATCGATGGAGATCAATCAGGCATAACTGAAAATGATCAGATATCTTATTTCAAGAAATTAGTTACTTTCAAATGTTTCTTGATTTATCATTAACATATTAATTTTGTTTTGTTATTCTAAACTATATATTAATTTTGTTTGAATTTGTTTTTATAAATTTTTCTCTTTATAAATAATTAATAAATTATCGAGAATTTCATTCTTCGAAAACTAATCCTCAATTTTTCCAGGATACATTCCTACTTCCGAACCAGATGAAGAGGACATTTCCGCAGGTATTTAGTCTGATGATTTTATTAAAATAATATTATTTGTGGCGTTTGCACTGTAATGCTTCTTGTACGTAATGACATATTGAATGTTTTTGTTTTGAATTCGAGAATAAAACTTAAATCGCGATATAAATAGCATGCTCAGCAATAAGTGATTTTGTATTAAAAACCACTTTTTGGAATGATTTAACGCTGATAACGAACGATTATTTAAAAAGTTTCTTATTTATAATAATTAATATAATATATTTGTTTGTAATTGTATTGTGTATTTACTAATACCATTTATTTTATCTAACCTTTTAACTGTTATTGCATGAATTAGTTCATTTTTGATGAAAATGTGAGATGAACTTCTCCATGCCTGATTCTGTTTTCTTTTATTTTGTTATCAAAGATTTCATTTTTTGTTTTTTAAATTAATCTTGCGTGAAAGGAAAAAAAATATATAATTTTAAGAAATCTAATTTTGGAAAAAACGTAAAATAATTTAAGTATTCCTCAGCAGTAAGTACACTTTGAAGTGTAAAATATACGCATTATACGTCACGTGGCATATATGACTCCTGAATAAATTTATTTTTCTAACCATATATTTAAAAAAAATATACCTATATTCGAAATGTTAGACCTCAAAGTCAAAAATCCTCAATATATAAGTATTTTTGATTTTCAGTCGTATTTTGTTTTATGAATATCGAAATATGGTGTTAAAATTATTATATGGTTTAAAATATAATAATTTTAAATATCCGTGGTTGTGAGTTGGCAATGTGGTCTAAAATGTCGGCACCAATACTAAAACATTAGCACTATTTATCATCTATGATAACCTTCCAGAAGTAACTATAAATCTTCTCTAAATAAGTTAATTAAATATTATCTCTAGAATGTTTTAACAAATAATTAAAATAAATATATACATTGTCATAAAATTTTAAATTGATATAGACACGTTATAATTGATTTAACATTTTTCTAGCTATATAAAATCGGATATAGAGTTTATAATTTATCTTGTTCTCCTTGTAAATGTAGTAATTTTATTTTTCCAAAGAATTTTTCATTTATGTTTGCCCAGGTTACAATCCTTACCAAATTTTTGCACTAATTAGTTTTTAGTATGACGCTCCATTTTGCCAATTGGGATATCTAAATATAAGAAAAAATATCCTTCTTGAGAAAATCGTATAATTAATATGCAATGATTTATGCTTTTAAAGATGTAGTTAGCACACATTAGATGTCAATGAGTTTGGTTGAAAAAACAGAAAATCATCCACCACTTCGATTTATATTACTTAATTGAAAAATATCGAAATGGAAATCTGTGATGAAAACACTTCAAATAAGACTAGCGAGTTTCAATCTGATGATTCATATAACTGAAGAAAAAAATAAACATTTAAAAACATTATATGGTCACCTGTCTCTTCCCAAATACTGGAACCATCAAATACATTTTAGGATGATTTATATAAAAATTTATAAGAAATTATGAAAAAAAAAAAAAAAAATAGATGAGAGATTGGTAAGATTGGCAAATCTGTTATTCATATTATAAGTTATAAGAATACATTCAATGTAAAATATATAAATACAAATTTAAAAAAATCTTTCTTGTTTCTAGTCTGAAGATGGGATAATAATGTGATCCCCGTAATCCCGGAACGTCATAAAAATAAAGAAATTTTGTTTTTGGAGATTAAACTGTTACTTAACTATATTCATATATGTTTTTTGAACAAATTTATTACTATTATTTTTTTTTTTTGCGTATGTAATTTTAATCAGATGTATACTGAGAATTATCTAGAAGTACTTTCTTTTTTGGATGGGTAAAGAACTTTCATGTTGACCTCAGAATCTCGAAGAAATATTACTTTGTCGTGAACAAGATGTAACGTCGGTTATCAAATGAAAAACAAACTTTCTTTTGGCTTGTATTCACGTTAAAAATATTTACATTTTTCAGTTAGAGGAACAATATCTGCCACATCCTTGATTAATATCGTCTATAATAAACGCAAATTGGATTTGAGACATTGCGATCAGTGTAGTAAATGCCATGAACTGTAATTAATAATAAATAGACACATGTAAATATGAACAAGTAATATGACATGTACAGCATGAAGAGAAACTACCCATTGGTAGCACTCCAATTATATTTCTGTATAAGAAGGTCCTGAGGCCATCTTCTTTTCAGACACCTCGGAGGGTTATTTAAAGTTTAAATGATTATCTACAACTTCTTACAGAAAACCTTTTGCCTTAAACATATGATAAATTCATTTTTTCTACAGTCCACTTTAACTGGTCTAAATATTAGTAAAATAGTCACCTATAATTTTCTTTGAGGTATTGTATACCAAACTTGGACAACAAATATTTAAATCACTATTTTAAAATAAAGTATTTAAAATACAAAGTATTTTGTATATTTAAAATATTTATTTTTAAAACAGTGTTTTAATTAAGTAATTTAGTATTTATATTGTTTTAAGAAAATGTATTTTAAATACAAAATAGTAAACGCGTCTCGTAATTTAATTCCTAAAAACGAAATAAGAACTACTTCTTGGTAAATGATCAACCTATAATAGAGAAAACACACTATTTGATAATTTATTTTGTGTATTTAAAATATAAAATAAAATAATTTTTGAATTTTAGTATGTTGGAAATAAAATAAAAATACTTTTTCGTAATTTAAAAGTAAAATATACTTACGAAAAATCTGTTTATATTTTATTTCATAAAAGGTAATATACAAAAAATATATTTTATTTAGTATTTATAAATACTTTATTTGCAACACTGCTCCGATCTGCTGTATACCAGAATCGCCGGTCGGAGGGGAGGCATCGAGCCATATTTTTTTTTTTTTTTTACTGTTTTATAATTAAAAAAAAGGGAATTTTTATCTCATCGGAAAATGGTTTACTTTCATCTTGAGCGGGGCAAGTATTTTAAATATGATGCAGCTAAAAAAAAAATGTTTTTAAGTACCTGTTATAATAGGTGTACCTCCTTAATCATCTGTACTTTAAATAACAAATTTTCTATTTTAATATATTTATTGATGTGGTATTCTGTAACAAGAAATGTTAATTCATTACCAAAATTGTGTCCGCCTGTTTGTGTATATTAATGTATGAATACATTTTTACGTGTATATGCATACATATTCTTAACATCTTTATTTTATTTGTTTATAACAATTGGGGTTGAGAGGGGAGAGGGAGGGAGGCTTCTGAAACTCTTACGGTTAATTTTAGCTATTATACAGTATTTATTGCATTATATATAATAATACATAAGATTAAATAAAGAAACTGTCTTTGTTTTCTGTTTTCTCTCAATAAAAAAAATCTATCCTATCGTGATCATATAACACCTAAATATATGTCATGCGTCTTCCTCACCATTTAATAAAATCCTCATTTCATTTATGTATATATGTACAAAACACTCCTTTACATTTTGTTGTTTGTTGTCAACCATCGGTTTCAATCCTCGCACTGTTAACACCAGCAATTGTAAATAACACCCGGTGTTGGATATTTTTATGATTCTATAATGAACTCAAGTATTCAATTAAACGAATAACTGCGCAGGTAAAGTGCGCAGGGAGGACAGACATCTGAGGCTTGAGAGCGATGAAACCATCAATTGCACGCTGACCGTTGTAACAGAAGAAGTGGGCATGAGAGTTATCGGCTTCATATCTGAGTGGATGTTGGTCTTCAACTTCTTGACAAGTAAGTCGTTCAAGTATTTGTGGGAGTCGCTCGAGGATAAGAAGCAGAAGTCGTGGAGTCATGTCGTAATATTTTTTTCAAAAAATTTTTAATTTTAACTTAAAAAAAATAATAGTGTATCTTTTTCAGAGAAAAATATTCAATTTAATTTAAAAAGATATCAAAGCAATAGATATATAGAAGGAGATCAATTTATGTAAGTTTTAATGATACTTTTAAGCTACTTTAAGAAAGACTTAAGTATATTTATGAATTCAGGCTTAAGGCTGTTCATTAATTCAGAAAGTTGTTTCAGCTTTAGCGAATGTGCTTTAAAGTTTGAAATATAACTTCTCGTAAAAATTTAACAAGGATTCAAATATGGTAATTGAAATTGAAACACGACTTACAAACAGTAATGTCTTGTATATATAAATTTTTATGGTAGATTTTGTTTAAGATCAAGCAACGCCTTATAGGTCTTGCTATTTGTGTAAAACTTGGAATACAGTTCCTATAATAAACATAAAATATTTATTATTCTGTAGTATGCTTTGTGATATAATGATATTTATTTATATATTATGATAACATATAAAGATGTTTGTACGTTACGCTAAGATCGTATAGACATCTTTATTCGGCTATTGTATCAACATTTTATTTAATTAATTTTAAATATTTTAATTAGGTTGATTGATAATTTAAATTAATTTTTGTTTCTTTTAAAAACTTATTTATTGAGAAATATTACAATCTGTCTCAATTAACCGCATTTATAGTAGTGTTCTGTGAGCAAATTCACAAAATATATAGAAAAACATAAATAAATAATGTAATAACAATATAATACACAGTAATAAAAACAAAGTCATTAGCCAAAGAAAAAATGAATATACATATAGGTATATATAAATTAAACCATAAAATGTACTTTTTTTATTAACTTTATTTTTTTAACTCACAACTGTCAGAATTTTCGATAACTAGCGAGTGTGATGTCGAGGTTTAGAATAAGGAATAGGTCATGGAGAAGTGAGTGAGAGAAGTGCCCAGCGGAGTCCTTCCTGTCCTGATTTTGCATTTGTAGCTAATGGAGGAGATCCCTCATCCAGCTTCTTTTGAGCCTCCTATGGCTGCTACGAGGGATGTTAGTTGTGGCCACGCCTCGAATCAGTGTGTTGGTATGTCCGTGTAAGTAATTGTAAAATATTTTGTAGTATGTCCGTAAGTGGTCTTTAACTGTTGGCATCTGTAAATTTTTATGTAAATAATGTTACTGACGTACCAGGGAGCCTTGGTAATAGTCCTGAAAGTTTTTGATTGAAAAGTCTGTAGTTTACGTATGTGAGTCTTTTTCCCTGTCCCATATATCTGTGAACCGTAGGTCCAAATAGGCTTAAGTAGGTAAGTATGTGTGTTCAACTTCTGCGTGAGATTTAATTTCGAATTTCTTGCAAGGAGTGAGTATGATAGTCGTAGTCTTAGGTTTAGATTTGTTTTCTTGTTCTTGTTTTGTAAGCTCCATGTTATTCTTCTGCCTAATTTCAGTTGCAGATATTGAACTTTGTCTATCTGATAAATTTGAACATTGTCGAGGTAAATAGCTGGGCAAGTTTCACATCGAAGGGTAAAAGTGATATGTCGTGATTTCTTTGAGTCGAATTTTCCAAACTTTGCACCAGTCGTGGAATTTGGTTAGGTTATTTTGTAGAGTGTGTGAGGTGTATATTGAATTGTGATGTCTTGTCAAGATTGTTGCGGTCAGAATATCGACACTGTCTGGAATATCGTAAGTGTGATTGATGCATAACAGAGGAAAATGTAATTTAAAAAATAAAATAAAACATCTTAGATACATGCATACTTATATACACTATTTGCAACCAGCCAGGGGAACTCCGAACCTATCTTGTCCAACTACTTGTCGAGGAATAAGCGAGGCTCCAGGAGATGTGATCTCTTGCACGATCTTTGAAAAACCGAGACTGATGTAGGAAAAGATTTTATTTTGATTTCATAAATATTTACATATTATATACACCCTACTCCTATTCCTTCAACGACGCTTCATACAAATCTTCCATTGTCTGGAACAGTGCTCGAAGTTTTCTTCTGTCAGCTCCTTTCTCTTTCTGCAAGATGATGGACATACCAATTAACATACCTTCGAGAACCTAATAGAACTGTATGAATATAAATAAAAAAAGTAAATCATCATTGCTTTGCTCGCTCGAGCTTTGTTGCCTCTTGATGGACTCTTCTTTTACATGGATTGGCGCTTCGTTTCAGGATCATGTGTAAAATACTTCTGTTCTTCCGTCTGCACTGAAATGATTTCTAGCCGTTGAAGCCTCCAAAAGGAGCTAACAGAAGAAGACGTCCATAACTATTTGAGGGAAGATTCATAAGGAGTGTTGTAAGGATAGAGAGAGTTTATTGAAGATGATATAAAGTAAATATGAATGAAATCAAAACACAATGATTTACATCATGAGTCTCAGCTTCATTCAGTAATACACATCAGCTATAAGCATAATTTTAAAAACCTGGGTCTTAAAATAATAATTTTTCACATTAAATTAAAATATTTTGAACTATCACCAAACTTGTAATTTTCTTTAAAACAAGAAAAAAAAATCAATAAACGTTAAAGATTGGTTCAAAAACACTGGTTTGTATTTACTTTCTTGGAGAGAGTTCAGAAGATGAATTATGATTCATTACTGAACTGACTTCAAAAAGCAAATATTAAATTAATGGAAGCAATGCCGAATTCAGCGTACCATATTTATATATGTGATGGTGTGTGTTGAAGAAAAATAAAATCCAATTCTGGTATGCCATTCAATTAAGCGAGCTGTCGAGAAAACTCATCGTTGACTGAAGTGTTCCGTTTATTGTTTTCGTATCTCAACATATTTAATTGGTCCTGACACTACTGCATTCACTTCATTTACAGATTAATTCAAAATAAGAACATCCTATGTAATTTTTTTTCATAAATGTATTTTGTACTAAATACAATGATACAGCATATGGAAAGAATGCCCTACATTAAGCCAACATATATTCAGGTAAAATGATTTACGTTGAATCCTTGTCATAAGAGAAGTGCCTGAGATAAATCATCATTTAACAAAACCAGTACCTAGTGGTACGAAACCGTTTAGGAATGAATCACCAGATTCGGTTTTGAGTGCCTTGAATTTCTCCATACGACAAATGACAATCAATCCAGTTAAATATTGGCCAATATTTTGAATCGTAACTTTTAATTTTAAACATTTTATTTGTAGAACCAAAAATCTTCACAAAACTAGCACACATAATACTTCAAAGAATCGCAGGTTAATGGCAAACATATACCAAATACTGGTGGGGGGATTCAGTCCGACTGAAATAGACCCATTGGTCCATTTTACCGATCCCAGGGACAATAATACCAATGGTAGCCGATTACATCTCAATCTCTGTCTCAAACCTTTTCGTTTTTCTAATGAAGTTCAAAAAGCAGGGCCATTTTGTGGAGCAAGCTTCGTGTTTTAGCATTATGTCCGAATCCAGAAGCCTGTATTTGAACAACTCGAATCGGTCACAAGTTACGTTTCAGAAAATTAGTAAATAAATAGCAGTCTGATGAATTTTGCCTCTTCGAAATGGAAATATTGTGCACTTAATATTACTTACATAAAGTGCATACATAAAAGGGTTTGTGCCCCTTTAAAGCACTTAAAATTAGTGTGTTTTACACACAGTATAAATTCACAGAAATGTAATTAGAAATTTATCTCAATCAAAAATGTACTTAGTGACTTAATGACTCACGATAAACTGACTTGATCTTTTTTCAAAGTGTTTAACTATATATAGAAATTTCGATAAGCCCAAATATTAAAAATCGAACACATTCGATTTTGAAATCTGAAACATCTTTTAAGCTGAAATTTCGTTATAGATATAAAGGATATTATGCTTGATAAATTGTGATACCTGTACAGATTTGTAAAATTTGGGACATTCTAAAATATACGATTCACATCAAATTTTGTTAATGATGATTATTTTTTGCTGTTTTTAATTAATTTTACTATCGATTATTTTAAATTTAATTATCTATTTACTCAATCCTTTCTCTTGTTTTGATTTAATATCTAATTTGCATGCTTTACACTTTTTCTGTTTTTGTTTCTCAGATTATAGGTAGTAGCACAAATGAACAAGTGAATAGAGGTTGTACAATGAAACATATGCTCATGAATAAATCATTACATTGATTCATTAATGATTTCCGTAGTAGCTACGCATAATTTATTCATGTTATAATCATTAGTATGACTTACCTTGAGAATGAGAATCAATTTTACTCAATGATGTAAGAATTTTGTTAGTCATCTAAAAACTGGATGCACGTTTGAAACGAGAAATGAAAATTGCATATCTCTGTTTTAATAATTAATAATTAAAAAAATTGAGGTGAATAATTTCTCCGTACAAGTATGTCAGATTTTATTTTATAATGAATTATAAAATAATGACTGTTAATAGATGCCAATTTATATTTAAATTCTTTAAGTAACTTAAGTTATTTTTGGTAAAAAACAGGCCTATATTTTTCACAATCCCAATTAACATTAGGACAGAAAAGATAAATTATTATCCAATCTACAGGTTGGATATTTCTCTTCAATGGGTAGGCAGATACTTATCAATTAGTGGTAGTACTGTTTATCAGCTGAACGCTTAACTTCATGACTCGCTGTTATCGGTTAATAATTTAATTAACGCAATAAAACGAAATAACCCGCGGTAAAGGGGAATGTTTTTATCAAATTATTAACATTAATCTAAAACTCCGTTAATGGCTTCATGTTATCTTAATCTACGACCTTTTTATTTACAAAAAATCTCGGAAATGGATCATTTTCAATCTAGAGACCGGTAAACTCTGTCTATTAAATGGGAACTAAAAAATAATGAGAACCCATTTGTGTTGTACTTCAATCACAAAATAATTTGATCAAGAAATCTAGAAGAAAACATGGGGCCGTTTGGCGTGACCTACGCTCTCAACATGTCAAAATAAAAATATTATATAGGTAGAACGTCCCAATATTTTTGTAGGCCAATTTTTTAATTGATTTTTTAATCAAATTATCTTACGATTAAAAGTGGAAAACGATTTTTTTTTTTGCATAGCCTCTTTTTATTTATTTTTGTCTTGAATCCTTGGATATTCGTTGTTTTCATAATAGTCCTTTTACTGCTTAAAAGCATTGTAAGGTGTATTTTTTTTTTTTTTTGTCGTTTCTGAGTATTTTGTTCTTCATCTGTAATATAAAAGGTGATGGGGCTCACCTCAGGCTTGAGCTGACCTCATCGTCTAGAGCTTACAACTAAATTAAAACATCTATCTCATGTGAGTTGTTGCCAACGTTTTGGAATTTTAGCTGTTAATAAGTTGTTGAAAAGAGGGTTTTCCAATTGTTGGACTCGAAAAATAATGTTTTTTGCTATGTGAGAAATTATTTTATTGTTGATAAATTTAGTGTTGCTTGTATATCCAAAGTCTTCTTTCTCTGCAGCGTGGTTCCTCTTAAAATTTTTCTAATTATTATTCCATTTTGGAAATATTTTAATCTTTTCCCAGTTGTTTTGCTGATATGTTCGAACAGAGGTGCACCAATACAACAGAGTGTTATACTTGTATAGACTAGAAGCTTTAGGGATAAAGATAGTTTTGTTGTCCAAATTTTGGAGTATGTACGTCTTAGATCATACTGTTTTAATTTTTTTGTCAAAAGATCTAGTAAATTTTAAATGTTTGTCGAAGTGAATACCGAGATATATTAAGTCCGTCGATAATTTAATACTGTTGTTGTTAATTTTGAATTCATTTGGAATTTTCTTTTTTCCTTCTTGGTATGAAAACATTATTTAAATATACATATAAACAAATGGGTGCTCATAAGTATTTAGTATTTTATTAAGTCTATTCATTTTACGAGAAAACGCCGCATTTCTGAGAAATTTCATTGAAAAATAAGTTGTGAGTTATGACAATCACGTAGTTTTAGATGGAGGTTAATAATTTGCTAAAAAGTGGTCTGTAAATCGGGCTAATATGAGTATCTCCTTGTGAGGGATATTAATTTTACGTTTACGTTAGCTTCAAGTGGCGTGTACTATTTTCAGCCTGAATTAACCTGATTTTGTGAGATTCAGCTTGTATGATGCTTGAGTTAACAAAACGTTCTCTTGATTGCCATTGAATGCTTTTTGAATGACGAAACCTTTGATTTAGAATAATCTATACATTAAGCATATGATCGTTATGTATTCTCATTTTAAATTTAATTATTGTTCCAGATAACAAGGAACGATTGAGCCTCTACCTGGCAGTGTCCATCGGTGGCGGCTTGGTCTGCATCCTTAGCCTCCTTGCCATCAGGCTGGCCTGGAGCAGTCGGAAGAGATCCCGTTCCCAGCAGCCCGTTCCTCCTTACGTCGGAGAGCTATACGACGGAGAGACCGATCTGGGTATAGCAACTGCACTACCTATCGATCCAGGAGATGTAAGTTCAGCCATTTTATATGATCTCTTGATCTTCGTTACAAAAATTATTATATCCTTTTCCCTCTTAAATAATTAAGGATTCTGATCAACAATAAAGAGCTCGAAATTACTTTTAAATTTACAAGAAGTATTATAGTACCAATTACTACATCAGATTACTTCATATCTCGAGTTATCTTGTAACCTATGACTTTTATACCAAGAGTTTTTTGAGTTTATAGATGCCTAATTATATCTAGACCACGTAGTTAGGGGAGTATTAGTGTGAGGGAAAAATTGGATGTTATAGATAAATTAGGTAAAATATAGTGTAATCAATGAAGCTAAAAACTTTACTGTAATAATAAAATAAATATGAAACTCGTCAAATATATTCAACAGCTTTAAACAAATTTGAAATGCTTAATGGATGATAAAATAGTCGAATTTACAAGTCAAAGTATAACCAAAAGTGTAACTAGCATGATTATATGCCATCTTCAATGTTTTTATTGGGCTCATAATTATTTAAATTTCAAGATCAATTATTTGTTATTAGAGGATAAAATCGATTTCGAGGTTGAGAAGATTTCGAAATCACAACATTTGCCCACTGCATAACCAATGGTAGCAAATGAAAGTCAATGGTTTTTAAATTTTTCCTCAACACTGTAATAACTTTAAGCCAAATCAAACGAGTCGTTTCTGAAAAAAAAGTGTGTTAAGAAAAATACGTATCTGTACAAGTAAGCATTAGCAGTGGTTGGGACGAAAATCGTATAATACTATCTAAGTACTAAATAGCAGAATTCTTAAAAAAATCAAAACCATTTCAATAACATTAGTAAATTTCCATTGCAATTGCATTTAACGTTGGGCGCATTGAGAATTTGGAGAGGATGTCAAAGTCTTACATTGATCCAATGAGCTATATTTTTGTATTCAGATAAAGTGTCTTAGGTGAATAAATAAGGGACCATATAATTTCAAAATATAGAGTATATTAATGGAATTATTGATTTTGTATTCCCTTTTACGTTTCCGTACGCAATGGCGCATTATATTTCTTAACCGTTGCTTATAAAATATTTAAATTTTTACATTTTAATCGAGTTTAAGGAATCACATTAAGTATAAGAGAACAGCTGTAAGTAGTTGAACTCAAAACTACTTTAGAGAACAGACAACTCAAATTGTTTGGTCAAATCTAGACATCTGGACCCAATAAAGTTATTAGAGGCCAGAGACACTGGGAAGAGACCATGAGTGAATTCATGTATAGGATTGGGAGTATAAGAGGAAAATCCCTCAACCAAATGAAGCGGTCGAGTATAGATCGGGAAATAATGGCTGCGCTTGATTGAAACTCCTCGATGGTAAGCAATGCATGTGAAGATTAAGAAAAAGAAATTCGAATCTGGCACCGGAGACTGCTGTACAAACTCCTTAAATTCCTAACCCTACATAAATTCTCATTTTCTATGCCTACCGTGGATGATGTACCCCCCAAAATAAATCATAATAACGTTTATTCATCCCTCAAAGTTCCTCCAGGAGTTCCTTTGGTTCCATCCTCTACACAGTTTATAAGTTGAGCTCGACGTCTCATGTTAATAATCACTCTTTAATTGCATCTAAAATCCTCCACTCGTATCACACATCTTAAAGAATGGTTTCAAAATAGGCGAATAAAAATAAATCCCATCAAATCACCTTTACGCTCCATCGTAAATTTATGACTTCTTGCCATACAGTATCCTCAAACAATATTTCACTTATCCCTGTTGAACAAATCCGCTACCTAGAACCCCACTTGGACAATCCTCTTACTTTGAATCCGCTAACATACTTACTTACTTCTTACTATGTAGCTCTACAGCCCAGGGTGGGCCTTGGCTTCCTGAATCATAGCAAGCCAATCGTCTCTATTGCTCGCTCTTTCCTTCCGATTTCTCACGCCCAGTGTTCTCAGGTCGCTCTCAACATCTTTTAGCCACCTTTTTCTTGGTCTTCCCTTTCTTTTTGTGCCATACATTGTGGAGAACAATGACCTAGAGAGCACTGTAGTCCATTCTGACCACGTGACCTAACCATTCCATATGCCTAATTTTAATGAAATTAACTATCTTGGAACTATTATATAATTCATATAGCTCCGCACTTGGAATCCACATAAAAGAATAAAACTACAAGAAATCATTCGATATTTCCGGGTATTCCAAATAGGAACAGACGGGAATCATCGAATCCTATCGTATCCATTTCTGATAATCAAGAATTCATTGCAAAACTCTTAATGTTCTTAATGCTCTCTTTGTCATAAAAAAGAAATAAAAGAGACTTTAATGTTCTACATGTCACTGATTTCACCCGATCCTTTCATGACTCACTCCAGTTCTGTCCAAACCCGCTTGTTTCCAGCTTCGCTTCCTCTTCAATTCCTGATAATCCTCCTAGGCACCAGCGGATCAAGGATTTAATTTTTTTTGGGGGGGGGGAGGCTTCAGCCCCAAAATTTTTTTTTCATGAAAATAATAATTACTTTGGAAAAAAAGAAGGAAATTAACTACCTGTATAAAACTAATAACCTGTATAAAGCCCTTTTAAATGTAATTACACGAACAATAATTCTTTACGAGATACTTTTTAAATAGTTTTTTTCGATAAAACATGGTTATACTTTACTAGATTGGTGGGGAAGGGGAGACTTCAGCCTGAAAGACCCTGTAGATCCGCACGTGCTCCTAGGCGTTCGAAAAGGTAACATCAGGATGTTCATACTTAGAACTATTTAAGTTCGCTACACCATTGAGTAATATATTGACGAATCTGTTTATATCATTATTCTTGATTTGTTCACATTTTCAGGTACTGTTTATTTAATGATTTATTATATCAATAAATAAATTTTAAAATATATATAAATTCTTACATATAGCTATATTATTATAATACTGGATGTTGCTAAGGTGGTCCGGTACTCCGCGATGGACATGCCACGCAGCCTGGCAGCAGCCAACACGCAGTACTACTACGGCTGACATTCGCCTAGGTGTGAGGACCATTCTCGCACCTACTGCTTCTAGCCACCGACGACATTGTCAACACGCTCCAAGTGCCTCTACTCCTTTCTACATGTACATATTATTGCATATTTACAGTCCAATGCTACCAATCATCTCTTCATGCAATAAGACTGTACTCTGTCAATATTCACAGAGAAAAATTGTGTAAATTTTAAAATATCGCTACTGTTTACGAGTGCAAAAGGTTGTACGTAACAATTTTGCATGTTTATTTGCGCTAAAGATGACATTTTGTAGTCTGCAACTGCTATAAGTATTTTGCTAAATAGGAAATAAAATATGAAATTACACTAATAAAACATAAAGAAATAATAGATTTTTTGCTATTCTTAAGATATACTTAATTTTTACAACGACCTTTTGTATTAACAGTAGCGATGTATGAATTTGTAATATAACATATCTCTTAAGTGGCATTTTATACAACTAATAAACTTTATGCCTTCTGTCCATTAAATGCATTAAACATGCGACAATAGTTTATCGAAATAAGTTGTCGTACGTCTGTACTTAATGATTGGATTGATTATTTTTTTGAAAATTCTTTTTCGAGATATATTACAATCAGTCACATCTAAGGACGATTGTAATAATAATAATAATAATAATGCTTTATTTATTAAGGGACGAGTCCCTTTAGAATAATACAGAGAAACAAAAATGTGGGCTAAGGAGCCTCAGAGATACATAAACAAGAGTATAGTTTGATTAAATAGTAAAAAAAAAAAAAATAAATAAAAAAATATTTAGAGAAATTATAAGTTACTTTCTAATTTACATCAGTTAATAATAAAAAATAAAAAATTGAAAATAAACATGAAGTAAAAATAATAAAGAACGATCTCATAATTTATATACATATTTACAGTAGTAACTATTTACAATTTTATGATGAGGACTGGATGGATAAGAAATGATTAAACAGTTGGGATTTAAAGGTAGGAAGGGTTTTGGATTGACGGATGTGGGGAGGGATGGAGTTCCATAGGGAAGAGGATCGAATAATAAATGATTTATCGAAAGCAGCGGTTCGGTGGGCCATTATATATAGATCTGAGGACCGGGAACGGGTATTGCGGGAGTGGACAGAGGATTTAAATTGAAGGAGCTCGGCGATGTATGAAGGACGGAAGGAGTGAATTACTTGGAAGAAGAAGGATGCCAGGAAATACTTACGGCGGTTATAAGGATAAAGCCACTTCAACTCTTCATAGAAACAGGAAACAGGAGCGTCTCTTGGGATCCCGAAGATGAATCGCACAAAGCAATTTATCAAACGTTTGAATAGTGATATAAGAGTAAATAGTGATATAAGAGTAGTTCATTCACAGTACGTACAATATATAAACAGCAAAAATAATAATAATAATAACAGTAAATGTATATAAACTAATGAAAATAACTACTTAAATACACACATGCTTTTATACAATACATTATTGAATAATCAAATAATCTCCTACACCCAAGAGCAATAAGTATTGAGTAGACTTTGAGTCGAGATATTGAATATTGGAGACGTTTGTTGTACGTTTTATGCATCTAGTGGACGCAAGGCCATAAGCACTGAAGACTTGTATTCTACGATATTTGTGCGATTATATACTTATTAATAAATTATTACTAGTTGATATTTTTCTTGAGATTTTGATATATAAAATATTTAATTTTATTTTATGCATTATAAAAAGTGATTAAAATTTAAACGACAACGGTTAAGAGTTACCTCGAGGTTTTATTCGTATTATAATTAATCAAAACTTTTAAATATAAACTATTAATTTAATGCATTATAAAGTTAAAAAAAAATAAATGCATAAAGGAAAATAGAGTGATAGTAGAGATCTATTTCAATAGATTTTGGAAACGATTTATAGTTAAATTATAACTATGAATTGAATTGTATGTAAGACTGTTAGTACGCGAGTGGTGGTGTATATTGAGTAACTTTTGAGTGTCCCTTGTAAAAATATGAATCTGTATATCTCAGCAATTATAGAATAAAAGCCTATTTCTCTTTTAATTTTTAATAATTTGTGAATCTGTTATTTTTTTACTTTTGTGGATAGATGGAACTTTCGTTTATTTCAACTCGCTCGTAATTTTGTTTACTTTTCATAAATATAAATATCTAAACTTTTTTTATGACAGTTTCAGTATCTTTTCTATATAGTATAGTATCCATTATCTAAAAAGTATTTGTGAATAATAATTACAATAACGTTAAAATGCTTTTCACAATATCTTTCTGAGAACTTCTTGGTACAATTATGATCAAGATTAAACAATTGTATTTAATGATAAAAGAATCAAACAAACACTGACAAAGAACTGCTATTTGGTTTTATAAGTTATTTTGATTTCCCCTAAATAAATTTTTGGGAGTCTTAATTAAATAAAAAGATTTTATGAATATTTTGATGGTAACATGAAATTAAAATACGGATATGTTTTTCTGATTATGTTGTAATTGAAATAAATAATTTTAAAATCCCGTATAAAATATAAATGAAAATATATTTATCCCTCACCTAAAATGAAAATATTTAAAATCAAAATAGAAATAAATAGAAAAATGATTTTTTCAAAGTTGATTAACAATGACAGCTTGTTTAATTTCAAAATTCATATATCAATGATGTAATAAGCGTTTTAACGTCTATGAAGAATAATTCTTTTACTTTAATTCGTCTTATTTGATGATCATTTTCCGATGGCTTGGGAAGAAATCAAATTTTAATTGCTTTGGTTAAAATAATAATACACAAATATATTTTGGCTTTATTATACCCCCAAAACACTATAAGCTACCGTTAATGATAATAGATATGAATATTGTAATCTAACATATGTATAGTGTAAATATTGAGTATAATTATAATTTTTGCCACACTAAACCGAATTAATGTAGTTATTGTAAGTACAAAGATTATATTGAAAAGTAGATACTTTCCTCTTGTCAGGTCCAAAAAATATATATATAGAAATAAATTATATTCAAAGTATATTAAACGAATTACAAAAAAAAAAAAAAAAATCATTGCATCACTATGATTGTAAAAAAATAACTGTTTATGTGCATTGTTGTGAGTATGTTGAATGAATATATTTCTCTTCATGAATGTATTTATCTTTGTTATGTGTATATTTGGAAATTAATTTGTTAACTTGTTTTCAATAAAATTGGCACCAGTGTACGATTTGATTTGTCTATTTTCCTATTACAGCTGTAGGCAAATCTACGATTACTAGACGTAATGATAAAGAAATATAAAATAAATACATTGATAATCCTTTAATATAAAAGGAATGAACAGCCATAGTTAACTGTAGGTTTGCACGGAATATCATATTTAACCTAACTGTTCATAATCAAAAATAGTCTGCTACCGAAAGAGGTCTTGTTTAACTTGGCTTCTGAATTTCTGATGCTATTTATCTTCAAACAACATAAGATCAATTTAGAATCGATAGTGACTGAGCTAAAGAATAACTTATAATAGAATAGAACAAAATCGATATTGAAGAAGTAATTTGTAAGCAACTGTTGATGTACACCAAAAACATAACGATAGTGGTGTGGTTTCACAAAGCATCTTTAAATCTACAACACAGCCAACACGTCGAAATGAATAGAAAGACTAAACAAGCGAGTGAAAATACTACACTAACTTTTTTTGTTATCAGAAAAAAAAATTAATACATGCACATACCACATATGTAAATGAGCCTCACAGATTTACGGTTAAACAACAAAGACGAATTTATAAAAACTAAAATCTTTTCAATCCAAGATTTTAAGACTTATTAGTCTTATTAGCATGTTATTACAACAGCTCACTGGTAAGTAAACAAACACTTTTTATATCGATTATGATAACCAACTATCGGCCAACACATACGTAATATTTACTACCAATTTATTATTAATGTACTCGGACAGACCAACTAGTAAATGACTTAGCCACAACTGACATGCTCATCAGAAGACGATTGAAAAGCAGATAGATGAAAGATCTGCTGTCCTGAATTAAGGAAAGAAATAAAAACTAGGAAGGGGTGCTGCTGGGTACTGTTCTTCCACATGTCTACGATATCATTTTCCAAGTTCACAACGGCACATTTGCTTATTGTAAAATTCATGACAGAAGTGAATCTGATCTCGAATAAGATCTGAAGAGAAAAAAAATCAAGAATTTATCAGACACTCCTTCTAAGAAATACAAAACAAAATATAATTATTTAATTACTTTGTGTGTGATTTAGTTGAGAAGAGTAATTTTTTTAATTTTTTGTTTGACTGTTCTAAACATAGTTTTTACTAAATGCCCAAAGGATCAATACTAGTTCAGGATCAATACTAGCTTCATGATTTTAAATCACATACACGCCCGAGATAAAACTTAGTACTAAGTCTCCGTGCTGGCTTACTGCATAAAAAGTAACTTCATCTTGGCATGAATTTCCGTGTATTAAAATAAGGCATTAACAAGATTCACGCTTTCCTTTTTCATTATACACACACACACACACACACACACACATATATATATATATATATATATATATATATATATATATATATATATATATATATAATATATATATATATATATTCATTAAAGGGATATTTATGAGCTACTGATCGTCTATGATTTTTGTTTCATTTAATTTTCTTCAGTTTGTTGATATATGATACTTTGAATACGTGCTTTGTCATTTGTTAAATTAACTATAGCACGGAGATTAAAAATCTAAATCGAGAATTTCATAAACAAGTAAAATATTAAATTTTTCAAGTTATTTACATCATTGTGATTGTGGTGTGGATAAAACGCGTAATCTATAGTCTGTTATTATTATTGTTATTGATATCTTATAAAATATAAGGAGATATTTATAATTTTGTTCAATAAAATGTCAAAAAATATTAATCTTTATTTAAAATAGCTTAC